ATATCTAAAACCTAACTAATTAATAAGAGAAAGTTACTATAACACAGGTATAATTTCTAAAATTTATTATTTATAGGAATTGAATCTTAGAACTGCCACTTAAGAATTGACAATCTATTCACTTCACTAGATTGCTACACTTCTACAAATTATTTTTTTTAAAATCAAGTCAAACAATATGTATATTGAATTCTATATTAATACTATTTACATAATGCAAAACTCATTTACAAGTTTTTATAATATAGATATTAGAAATTTGTTCTAACTTAAAAAATTAATAATTATATACTTCTGTATATATATACCAAAGTGGTAATTCAACCATGCAAACTATAAAATTTGATATATTACAGAGTTTTTTGTTATATAAGTAAAAATTAATTTAAAAGTCTATTAATATTAATTGTATGCTATTACTATATATATTTATTAAAGATAAAATACACATAAATTATTTGTCATAACTTTAATTGTAAATTTTTTTATTTTAATATTTAAAAATATTTTTATTAACTTAACTGCTTTTAAACTCTTAAGCAAAGTTGTAAAACAGACTTTTATAATTCTAATAATAGTAGGATTATTAAATTTGGATTAAGATTTATTATGATAAATTTATTTAAAGATTTGGTATTATAAATCTATTATAAAAATCATATAATAATCAACTAATTAGAACATTACTACTAAGAATTTGGATTTACTACTGAGATTTTTACAATATATATAAGTATAGTTTTTTTAAAATAATATATATTATAATTTTTATTATAATAAATAAAATATTTTAATTTATATATCTTAAAATTTTTGTTACATTTTTAAAAATTTTTATTAGTATCATATTTTTACTTGCTATGTAAATCTAAATTTACTGTGCAAATCATCTAACAAATAATCTACATGTACTCTTAAAATTAATTATTTTAAAACAAAACAACTTATTGAAACCTCAAAGAATTATCTTGAAATTTTCTTAAGTAACTTATTAAATATTGAAGAATAGAGTTAGGCTTTCGAATTTTCTATTAACATTTAAATTTAAACATTCTTATTGATGACATCGACAAAACAAGTCACAATCAGATATGTCGTGTAACCTCCGAATCAGCTTAGTCGATAAGAGGCAGTTATATTTGGCGAGTGAGGTTAAGTTCGTAGATCTTTCTTCCTACTTGTCTTGAACCTTCGATACGGCTTACTAACAAACTTCTCTTGTACTCACAATCTACTATAATCAAATCCACAGCTGGAGCCTTCCTATTAGACCTCACTTATGATATCACGTGAGCAAGAAGACAAGAGCGATGATCGACTTATGCCACTTAAGCAGTAGATCGGAATGTACGTGTTTTATTATAACGTAGGGAATGGATAATTATAAGTAGACGAATTTGGTTTAATCACGACCGATTTTCTTCCTTTTCTCAAGGCGAAACGCCTTTATTATATACTTTCTATATACTTTCTATATACTTTCATTTATTTAGTACATTATACATCTTATCCGTGATATATTACTTATGTTTATTATCCTACTTATACTGATTATAATCTTTATACTGATTATACCCTTTATCCCACTGATTCCCCTTATAATGCTGATATCCCTTAAAGACCCGATACGACGTTTACAACTTATACTACATTTACAACTTATACAACGTATAGGAAAGTGATCAACTTTGCCGCTAGTTGGTTACTGTGCCACGTCGATCACCTCCTTCCACATGCTTCCAGGATTACAGTCCTGTGGCTCACATTATAAATAAATTAAATTTCATTAATTAAAGTGAAAAAAAATTTAGAATTTAAATGTACAAGTCGAAACTTTAATAAAAATTTTGCAAATTGAGCGTAACTTTTTAGAGATGACTTCTGTGAAGAGTTTTTCAATTAAAAGAAATTAGAAGAAGTGCAATGTCAAGATGCATTCTTTAGAAATTGTACGTGATTTATTATTTAAATATATTCAATATGATATTTAATCGATTATTTTAATTTTACTGATTAAAATCTGATCATAGTAAAATTACTAATATTGCTGATATAGGTTTGATTACTTAGTTAATTTACCACGTACGTACCTGATCTCATGTCTTGCTAGCTCATTGCCTTAGATAATTCGCATGCTAAATTAGGAGGAACGTCAAAACCAAGCTCGGGTAGGATTAGATTTTCTGATGCAGTTAGGGATATTGTTTTATAAAGATATCAAGAACGTAATTTATGCAATTTGTAAATCATTATGTAAACGAACCTGTCTTTAACGGACGCCTCAATTAGTATTAATGGTTACGCTTCTGTGCCAAACCTGATTGCTTCCGGATATTCTTACTTAGCTATGCCAGCCTAAAGAAATATTATCTGGTAATCGCTGCATTTGGAAATGATTAATGATATTTGATAATCGCACACAAAAATATGGGTCGTAGTATCTCAAAAATTCCCTATATATCTAACATTAACAATTGTGTCTTATGAGTAAAATTCACTCTGAAAACTTTTATTTAGAGATCTGAAGTTAGCTGTCATAGTAAATTTTTGCGTTATTTACGTTTTTTTTTTACAATTTCTTATGCTTTTCGCGTTTGTTTTGTTACGCAAGGATTTTATTGGATCCAGATAGGGTCGGAAGTGATCTTCAGCCCGGGATTTTCTTGACATGACGTACCCGTGAAATTTAAGTACATTCTATGCATTATCCAATCGTTCACGAGTTTTTGCCATATAATCATACACTGCATTGCATTACATTCCTGGTAATCGATTAGAAATTCCATGGAGAAATTGAACGGAAATCCTAACCCGAGTGTGCATATAATCTTTATTTGTACTAGCATATGTAACTTAACGAAAAATTTAGGATAAAAGATATACATATACTAATATCATTTATATTAATAGTAATACGTACACATATTATAAAATCAGCAAATGAAAATCTTAAGATTTTCAAGATTCTTAGTTTAATGTGAATGACAAATTTATATAACAAAATAATAAACGATTGAAATACCTGATCACGATTGAAATACCTGATCACGATTGAAATACTTGATCAAATCAATATTTATCAATTTTTAAATACCTGGAATTTTAATATATTGAGTATAACGAAAATTAATGTTTACATCAATCAAAGACTAGAAATTTTGAAGGACCTAAAGTCTTATCAAAATAAATAAAAGAATGTAATTTGATGTCATTATAGTGTTGCCATATTTGGAATATTTGAGTGTATCCAAAAATTACAAAATTGCCTTTTGTTTTAACGATCTTCAGATGTATGTAGATCAATGTATTTAATTAAACTGAATTCCCAAATTTGGACAATAAATTCTCATGTGCAAGTATAACGTATGTACGGTATTTTGTTTATATTCTAAAAACTAATATCAAAAATAATATATAGCTATTGGATGCCCAGAAATAGTACGTTAAATTAAAAGCCAGATAAGTAAATTATTGGTGCATAACATTTAATACGTAACGATTTTATGTAATAACTATATTTCCGAGAGCTTATCGTGATTCTTTGGTTAGTCAAATTTAGAAATAAAATAATGATAATATATTTGTTTCATCTCTTCATATCAAAAAAAAAAAAAAAGGATTAAGTTTTTGTGCGTGAAATAAAACTGATTTCTTGGCGATTATAAATGCACGTGGATAGAAAGATATATCGATATTATGATGCACATAATAAAAACAATTCGCATTTCTTTATTGGAGCTTTTGATTGTGTTTTTTCTAGAAAAATATTCTATTCTCTGTAAAGCAGACGAACAAATAAAAATATAATTTTGTTTGGAGATCTTTATTGAAATCACGAATTTAAGATTATTATTATAGTAACTTTTTATAATTTACTAATTGCTTAATGATAATGTTTTTATTTTAAATCGCCGCGTAAAAATACTCTAGGAATTAGATCATACTTGAACAACACGGAATTATAAAATAACCATGTAATATTCCAAAAGGACTTAATCTTCTAAAATGTGCTCTACGGTTCCTTATTTTGATAATAGATATGCAAAAGTATGCATTATGCATGAAGTGCAAAACAATATATCTCTAAATTCTAAATTTTCTAGACCATATGATCCATATGATCCATATGATTCGTATAATTCGATAACCGAGAAAAAGAACCTTGTTTGTTTTGAATAGTCCGATTTGTCCCTAGTTATTTTACATCCCGAATTCCGTTCAACTGACCAATAATTTGTCCATATAACCAAAATTAGCCACGTTATCAGAATAGAGTGTAATGTTAGAGTTTCGGAGTGATGATAAATAATTTTGATGTTTAAATTTAGAACAGAAAAACTGCTTAAAAAAAGACCAATTGAACGAGAATTGAAACATAATATTTGCACACAAAACGATGTTATTGCGAATAGAGTATCTACTTTACAATCTAATAAAGTCCGAATTTAATTCGAACTTAAGAATACTACCCAAATTTGATTAGAAGTCCCGAAACATATAACGTTGCTCAAAAACTTTGAACGAGAATTGTAGTGGATCGAAATAATAATAGCAAATAGAAACATATTAGTAGCACAACAAAGAAATTTTATTGTGAATAGAAAATCTACTTAATAAAATAATATAATCCAAATTTTGATCAGAAATCTATAAAATGTATAATGCTGCAACTTGGTCAATCTCTTTTTAATTAAAGGTGCATAATTTAAATAAAGACACATTCTTGATGCATAAAGAAGCTCCATGTATCGTACAAAGTTTCAAATAACCCGATTATCCTAATTATCGAATTGCATTGGACTGTAGTCTACATCATATAGTAGGACTGTGTAAGGAATAATATCTAATTAACGAATAATTAAAAAGAATTAGTAAAAAGATAATAATCAAAACAATTATATAAAGTGACAAATTCGCCCAGAAGAGTCTAACCTTAATTTTCATTAAATCTTCACAATTGAAATATACATTCTCTAAATTAGCTGAAGGTCATTCAGAAAATGGATTTCTCAGCAACGCCATTTCAATTTTTCAGACATCTATCATACAATTCCTTTCTAAATAAACATTCAACCAAATCAAACCAAAACAATTCTCCAACTCAACATACCACCACTAATTTAAATCAAAATGCTACTTTTAAAATTGCTTCTAAAATTAAATTAGTAAAAAACTTAGATTCGCCACGTAAAAAATACAATAAAATGGTTGTGTTTGGAGATTCTTTCACAGGTTCGTCATTTTCCCATAAATGTCGATAATACTACTTATTATAGCAATTTCCTTTTATTTTCAATTTTTTTTTTTTACCGTTACTGAAATTTCTTTACTTTTTATAAACAGATAACGGTAATGTTTACAATTTAACAAACAAGAACTGGCCATCAAAAATTAATTATAAGGGCCATTTTTGCGACGGGAAAATATGGGCTGAATATCTTGCCGAAATGCTTAATGTCAAATTAGAAAATTATGCTTTTGGTGGTGCCACCGCGGAGTAAGTTTAAATATGATTTTAGATTTTCATATTCAGATAATATATAGATTTCTTTATTTTTTTAACATATAATAAACTTTTTTATTACAATTTAAACAGCAGCAAGTTCGTTCAAGGATCCACAGGACCGAATAAACATAAAGTACCTGGCATTAAGCAACAAATTGAAGCATTTATTTCTGCTAATACTAAATCAGAAAAATCAATGAATTCCAATCCTAAACTTAATAAGTTACAATCTTTCTTCAAAGTGAACGCAAATTCTACAAGACTAAAGAAGTTTATGAAAAAGAAAAGTTCAAAACAACCAAATAATGATTTTAGCAAAACATTATTTGCAGTACGTGTTTATCTTTTTTCTTATTTTATTCTATATAATTATTTTTTTCCTGATTCTAAAATTCACTCATTTACCCACTTTCTATCTCTAATTCGTCTAACTCTAGGTTTGGGACACTGGAAATGATTATTATTTCACAAACATGACTGCTTCTCCGCTTCTCGTTGTTCAATCCATACTCGACGCTCTCCACCTCCTTGTAAAATCATTTCCCACTATCTCAACCTTGTTAATACCAAACCTTCCTGATTTATCCAAAGTTCCCTATTTCAAATCCATGACCACATTAGAAAAAGAAAATTTGTCAAAATTGGTTGCTTCCCATAATAAATACCTACTAGAGCACTTGGTAAAATTTAGTAGAGCTACCGGTGTGAAGATCGTTTATTTAAAATGTGACAAATTTTTTGATGCTTTACAATCTGGAATGAACGGTTTTGGAATCTCAAATTGTGTTGATGCCGCATTTGATATCTATGGTGCTGATGAGAAAAAAAGTTCTATTAATGATTGCAGCGATTTAGAATTAAATGCAAATGATCTTTTTAAGATTGTTCAATCTAAATCTTCATTTTCCGATATCTCTTTCCAACCTGATTTCAAAATCAAAGGTATAAACGAACAATCAGATAGTAAAGATTCTTACTTTTATTTCGATGATTACCATTATTCATCTAAAGTTCATGAATATATGGCGAATTTTTGTTTTGAAACTTTGGAAGATTCATTTTATCCAACTTTCCCTAATAAAAGGAATAGTTTTGCTGCGAAAATGTTTGGAATGGTCTTGGGTGATTATATGCAATGATCTTTGGTCATTTATCGCATTGTAATTTAGACTTATAATTTCCACTAGAATTACACTTTTCAAAAAATTTCTTATTAATATCTTTTAAAACTTTTATCAATATTCGAAAAATCTATCATTTATTATTATTGTTATTATTATTATTGTAATTTAGACTTTTTTTTTCTTATTTGTACACATTTTCTTTGGTTGTATTTTTATTAGATTTGTTTTACTAGTAATATATTTTTCATATTCTTAAAAAAGTGCAATGGCTACTTTAGTACAACTTGCATGTTCGCAAAAACATTCTGATTAGACGTTTTTTTTTTTAAAAAAAAAACCATTTTTCATAAAAAAATTTTAATTTAATAAATTCATTTGATATCCTCATTATATAATTGTTCGTTTTTCGATTTCAACAATCTAGGCTTTTTCATATACTGTTAATATAAATGTTACAAGCTTATCGCTATTCTTCCGAAATCAAGACATTGAATCACGTGCTCAAAAAATGATACAGGATTACGCAGCAATATTGTTTTAATCTTACATTTATTTAAAAAATCGAAATGTGCATTTAGAGAGGATGTGCACTTATAAAGGTAAAATGAACAAGTTATCAGTTATACCATGAATTTACATAGTACATGAATTTATAATGTGCGCATTTATGTATTAAGATTCATGATAATTTATTATTTGTTATTCAAAGGATATTACGGTAGAAGTATCGAACATTCGATGTCTGTGTCTGCAAATTACGTACGTACGTACGTACGAATTTCGCTTAAAATATTAAAATGAAAGTTGGGGTTTCTATTTAAGCACTTAAAATCGACTTCATTATTAAATAAACCGGATGATTGACTTTACATGATATAGTTATATAAATAAATCACGATAATAATCATCGTTACTTTAAAAAATGTGTATTAACCAATTAAAATACAGTATTATTTAGTGTGTGATTACAGGATTAGGATGTGACAGATGTGTTATATGGGGCGTGGCAAATAAATATGTTACACAATACACTTATAAAATCCTTATATGCCTTGTTTCCTAAAATTCACGGTCCTAGTGTTACTGTCGCATCTGAAGTAGCGACTTATTTGAAGTAGCGCCTGGCTAAAATTAAGCCCCTGAAATTAGATCTTCATGCATGCATTAGATTTTAATTTTAGCCAGGGTGCCACTTTAGATATATAAAGTGGCTACTTTAGACAAATCGCTACTTCAGATGCGACATTACCCCTGAAAAATTTTTAATGGAAACACTACCTAAAATCCCTTTCTCAGGAGCGTCTACAAAATTTTTACGTTCACATGACATACAACAAAATTCGTCAAGTTCGTTTATGTTAGGTTAGGGTCTATGCCAGAGTTAAAGGTTTAATAGTAAAATCGTTCAAGGAAACTTTTTGTTAACGTGCAGAAGATAGGTTTATAAAGATTTTTTGAGTTAATAGCGAATTCTTAACAAAATAAGCATTTGGTTTGAATTTTTCTGTTGGGTTATTTTCGTGTAGAGATGTGCCACGTACAGTACTATACCAGATACGTACTGTACTATTGTTTGGGAGAGCTTTTACACTATCGGCACAGATTTAACTCCAATAGTTAACTTATATGTTATTTGTATTAGAACTATTGTAAAAAATAACTTGTACAATCGATTATAATGATCACTCGGGCATGTGAGATTACGTAATTAATTAAAGATCGGGGTACTAGATCAGATCAGGTTACTGATAATTAACTTTATACCCATTAAGATAATATATGATGTAAGCGATAAACTTATTTCAAAGGGGTAAGAATTTAGAAATTTAATAATAATGGTAATATTGAACAGGGCGTTAGAATTGTTAAGGATTTTAATAATAAGACAATAAAATAATACTAAATATGTTACTAAAATGTATAGCAACAAGGAAGAAATCAATTATTATATACTTAATAACCAAGACAGCAAAGTCTGAAAAAGTAAAAAAGCAGTTTTTTTATACTTTTGAAATAAATAAGGATAATAGTTTATATGTTTAGATCCATGTCTAATCCTTAATATACATCTTTCATTAAGTTTAAAGATTATTCTAGAATTTTTTCTTATCTTCTCCAATCTAAACTTTCTAAGTCTAACCTTTTCGTATCATCTTTCTTATAAACCTTTAGCTAAACAAAGGGTCATGTTTAATTCTTATATATCAAAACAATAAATAAATAAAATTAATCTATAATAGATAGAATTAGATTATTACCATGCTAACTTCTTTAAAACAAAAAGGATTTTAATTATTTTTAATAGTGGATTCCTACAATCCTAATAAAACTTTATATATACATTTTTGTTTATTCTTCATAGTTTTATTTTTTTTAAAAAAAGTACTTTTAAACTGTATAAATGATGTAAAATTAAATTGATTTAAACAACCAGTCATACGAAGTCCTCCTATAGCTTGAGAGGTTATATAAGGGCATGAACAGAAATCAGTTAATTTCGAGACTATACCTTTCCCCCTTGTCTGATTAAAATTAACTAATCAAATTTCTAATGACCTGATCAAATGATGAGAAACCCACTCTCTAAGTATAGATGATAGTTACTTGAGAAAACTTTTATAAAATTAGTCATAAAACTTGAATTAGAATTTGAAATGTCATATGGTGCAAGACATCTATACTCAACAGTTACACGAAATGTTTCAATTTTTCAAATGGCTATAACTTTTTATCTAGGAAGTTTTAAAAAAATTTGACCGGTAACTTTATATAGCTGATACAGCTCTATAAAGTTACCGAAACATTTCGTGTAACTGTTGAGTATAGATGTCTTGCATCATATTAAAACTAAAAAAAAATATTGGCATAATTTGTATATTAAAAATTCATTTTATGTTTAATAAATTTTAATACATGAAAAATTATTTTATAATAAATAATAATTTGCTACTGGCATTATATTTTTACGCTTATCTAAGGTTGATAATAAATATAAAAACAAATTAATTGATCATGAACATAAAAAATATTCTCAAAGTTTAATAGACAATCTTGCGTCAGATGATTGCTAATCATTTAATGCTAGTCATCTAATAATCATCTGATACGTATCTCATGCAAGTTTGTAATCACATGCAAGTGCACAACATATACGTATCGATATACAAATATATCGGAGGCAAAGTCCGCTAACGCTAATACTAAAATTCTTTCAAAGACAATAATGTTACCAAACGAATGCCTTTATGAAATATTTAATAATTTTCGAACTGATTATGGAACTTTATTTTCGTGCCTTCTTGTAAAACGTCAATGGTGTAGAATTATTATACCAATATTATGGCGTGAACCTACAAATTATTTTTATGATAAAAATATTGTTCGAATATATCTTTTAGCATTAAATGCTGAAGAAAAAGCTTTATTAACTCCCTTTAAAATTAGTTTTCCGAATTACCCAAGACCATTATTTGAGTACGAAAGTTGTACAACATCTATTGGTTGTCGTTTTATCTTTGGTGTCGAAAATTGGCTTAAACATGAAGGATATAATGTAAATTTTCTTGAAAAAAACAGTCTTGCAAATAATATCATAGGCTCTTTAATTGCAATGTTTTTGCGAGCAAGTAAAAAACTTAAATATTTAACTCTTTACAATGTTTTAATTAATAAATCAACATTGGTCAATTTACTTTACAAAAATACCACACTGTCTTTTTTGGATCTTCAAAACAATCATCTTGAATCAGAAGAAATAAATACATTGGAAGATGCGCTTTGCAAAAACACCACTCTGACTTCTTTAAGTATTGGCGACAATTATCTTGGATCAAGAGTAAAAGCATTAGCAAATGTACTTTGCAATAACACCACGTTGACTTCTTTAACTCTTTTCAAGAATTATAAATTAGAAGAAAAAGTATTAGCAGATGCACTTTGTAAAAACACTACACTAACTTCTTTAAGTATTTGGAAAAATAATCTTGACTTAGGAGGAAAAGCATTAGCTAATGCACTTTGCAAGAATACTATGTTGACTACTTTGAATCTTAGTCATAATAATATCGGATCAGAAGGAGGATATGCATTAGTAGATGCACTTTACAAAAATACCACGCTAACTTCCTTGGACATTAACAAAAATAAATTTGGAGTCGAAGTGGGAATAGCATTAGCAGGTGCACTTTGCAAGAATAATACATTAAAAGATTTGCATCTTGGTAATAATAAGATTGGATCAGAAGGAGGAAAAGCATTAGCTGATGCACTTTGCATAAACAAGACATTGACTTCTTTGAATCTTTGTTGTAATAATCTTCACTTAGAAGGAGGAAAAGCATTAGCTGTTACACTTTGTATAAACAAGACACTAACTTCTTTGAATCTAAGTTGTAATAATCTTTGCTTAGAAGGAGGAAAAGTGTTAGCAGATGCACTTTGCAAGAACACTACGCTGACTTCTTTGGATATTAGTGCTAATTATCTTGGATCCGAAGGAGGAAAAGCGTTAGCAAATACACTTTGCAAGAACAACACTCTCAAGAAATTACATCTTCGGAATAGCAATCTTGAATTAGAAGGAATAAAAGCTTTAGCGGATGCACTTTGCAGGAACATAACGCTGACTTATTTAGATCTTCGTTGGAATAAACTCGGATTAGATGAGGGAGAAACATTAGCAAATGCACTTGGCAAGAACACTACATTGATTTACTTGGATCTTCAATTTAATAATCTTGGGCCAGAAGGTGGAAAGGTATTAGCAGATGCACTTCGCAAGAACACTACATTGACTTTGAATCTTCGTCAAAATTATATTGATTTTATTATAAAATCTAAAAATCCAAAAATTGAAATAATTCAATAATTTGTATTTAATTGAGTGTCGCTAAGGGAAAATGTACAATTTTAAAGATATATTATCATGAATTTCATAATAATCTATTTATAGAATTGCACATTTTCCCTTAGCGACATTCAATTGTAACTGATGTAATGCGAAAAATAGTATTAAA